ATGTCTTAAGTTGTGTTTTGCTATAATAAATAAAGACATTTAAAAGCATTCAAAGCACTTTAAGTTTTTCTCTGTTAAAATTTGGAAGTCATAGTTTATAAGATTTAATATTAACCAGGATTGTGCCTCTTAAGTTTTAATTTCAGATGGCTAAAATGCAGAATACATAGGAAAAAAATTTCATCATTAAACTCAGACCTTATTAATAGGTACCAATGATCTTATATTTAATATCGAAGTCTTTTTTGAATGATACCAATTTTATCTTCAGTATTAGGATAAAAATTGTTAATGTCACTTGACTATGGTTAGGAATGCAGGTTTTATTCTAATACCTCATTATGTAAAATAATGTAATTTTTGGGTGGGGGGTTGGGTCCAGACCTGAAAATGCATAGGGATTACTTCTGGCCCACACTCAGGAATCACTGCTAGTGCTCCAGGGACCTTATGGGATGCTGGGAATTGAACCTGGCTTGGTTACATGCAAGGTAGACACCCTACCTGCTCTGGTTCCAAAATCACTTGATTGTTTCTCACACACTGTTTAGGGGAAGAATATTATGAGGTATTCATAATAGTAAGAACACCAAAAACTCAAAACCCGTTATCTTTAGAATCATTGCAGTTTTCTTTTTTATTGCCTGTAGGATAAGACACTTTTGTCCTTCCTGCATAGCCTCGGGTAGCTTATGTATATTGGGTTGCTCCCATTACAGTGTTCACATTCCTTTTTGTTTATTTGTAACTTCTTTCTTTGTGCTCTGTTGACTAGTAAGTATTGTTTTTCTCTTCTCCCTGTGTCCTTTGCATAGTTTATTCAGAGTAATATCCTTTTTGTATGGACACAAGATGACAGTATATGCTGTGCTTTTGTTATGTGACTTTCAGTGATATTTTCCTCCCAGGAATCTGTTCTCTCACCTAAGCCTCAGCTGCATTTCTTCCTAGCGGCCCCTAAAAGAAGGGTCTCGATGAGGGACTGGATGGAACCAGGGCAAGTGGTGAACTGTGTGCAGTCCTGGCATTGAGATGGGCCTGGCCAAAGTGCCATAATGAAAAAAGAGGTTGGTTATGGACAAATGCTGTCATGATCCAAAAAGTAGTAACTAGATTCGCACCCTGCTAGGGTTAGGAATGATTAATCTGGCCAGATTGCTGTAGTCTGAGTCTGTGGTAAGATGTTCCCAGGAGAGCTGCCCTACAAGCCTCAATGTTATCTCTTACTGTGTCCATACAGAAATAACTAGTATTGGGGCCAGAGCGATAGTACAGTGGGTAGGGCATTTGCCTTGCACGCAGCCGACCTGGGTTCAATCCTGGCATCCCATATGGTCCCCTAAGCACTGCCAGGAGTAATTCTTGAATGCAGAGCCAGGAGTAACACCCCCCAAAACCCAAGCAATGCTGGTTGTGACCCAAAAAGCAAAAAAATAAGTAAATTTAAAAAAAAATAACTAGTATTAAATTGTTGATAGAGTTATTGGACTGAGGAAAGGAGAAAAACACCTTAGGAGGTATTTTGTCCTTGGGCAGTCAGGAAGGGCTTTGGTGTACCTCTTAGTGGTGTTTCCTTTGAACCTGGTGGGCTCTCAGTAAGGGCTTTCTTATGTTGATTTGGCTACCAGACTGGGTGCAGTGTCAGCCCAGAGTGCTGGGGAGTTGGAGAGGCCAGAGAGCTGGAGAGAGGAGAGGGAGGCTGGGCAGCAAGATGGACCATGGAGAGGCTAGCAAGGGGGAGAGAGAGAGGATGTAGAAGAAGAATACAGGAGCAGGCATGTGGAGAGAAAGATCCCAGGCTGCGAGATGAAGTGTGGAGAGATGAGCAGGAGAGACAGAAGGAGACCGGAATGAGGGGCAGTGTGAGACTAGAATGGGGGGCTCAGAGAGACTGTGGCAGGCACATGGGGAGAATGGAATAAAAGGCAGCTGATCAACCAACTGGCTTGGCCCTTGTCTCCTCCACCGCCTGCCCCGTGTCCCGGGCTGCCCTGGCTGGGCAAGTGGTCTGGGGCTCACCCTGAATGCTGGCGGCTGGGGGAAGAGCAGTTGGGGCCTCCCCCTGGCCGCTCCCTAAAGAATTTATATAGTGACCCATCTGTACATCACTGTCTTTTTCAAGCCACTCTCAATTCTTGCCTAGACTATAGTAGAAATAACTCTTTGACAGTTCTCTTTACTCATCAATCCAATTTTCACATACCTGATTACCCTTTTAAAACTTTAGTAGATACAAGTAATTTCTCTTTTAGATAGATTCCCTTGCAGTGAAACCCAAATTTCTTATCCATGACTACCCGAAGTTGTGGCAGGTACTAGTAGTAAGATGATACATATCTGTGGAAACTTTTGGGGATTTTTTTTTTTTTTTAGAGCTGAGTTTCTACAGATAACTTGTCTTCCCGTTGTTCATCAATTTGCTCGAGCAGGCACCAGTAACATCTCCATTGTGAGACTTGTTACTGTTTTTGGCATATTTAATATGCCACGGGGAGCTTGCCAGGCTCTGCTGTGCGGGCAGATACTCTTGGTAGCTTGCCAGGCTCTTTGAGAGGGACGGAGGAATCCAACCCAGGTTGGTCACGTGCAAGGCAAATGCCCTATCCGCTGTGCTATTGCTTCATCTTAAAGTATTTTTCCTTCTATTTTATACATATTTACTTAGTTCACAGCAGGTAGGGCGTTCGCCTTACAAGCGGCCAACATGGCTGACCCGAGTTCGATTCCTCCGCCCCTCTCGGAGAGCCCGGCAAGCTACTGAGAGTATTCGATATGCCAGACACAGTAACAACAAAGTCTCCAATGGAGACGTTACTGGGCCCGCTCGAGCAAATCAACGATCAACGGGAGGGCCTTTACCTTTACCTTTACTTAGTTCACATATGCATAAATGGAGGAAAATAGGACATTCCTACCTGTTTTTTTTTTTAAGATGCTAGTTTCTGACTGTTACACAAGAAGTGACAGTATCGAGGTATTGTTATCTCAATTAAGACCTAATAAAGCGGGAAAGAACGTATTAGCTTAAAAAGATAAAACTGCTAATAATTGTAGTTTTCATACAACAATTTATTATAGTTATTCGTCGATTGCCTCGAGCAGGCCCCAGTAACGTCTCTTTCATCCTAGCCCTGAGATTATATTCAAGGCTCTTTAGGAGAATGAGACCCATCATTGTTACTGGTATTTGGCATATTTGGTACGCCACGGGGAGTTTGCCAGACTCTGCCCTGTGGGCAGGCTACATTCGATAGCCTGCAAGTTTGTCCAAAGTAGGAATGAGATAATAAGGCCCTCCCGTTGATCATCGATTTGCTTGAGCGGGCCCAGTAACGTCTCCATGGGAGACTTTGTTGTTACTGTGTCTGGCATATCGAGTATGTCACGGGGAGCTTGCCAGGCTCTGCTGTGCGGGCGAGATACTCTCGGTAGCTTGCGGGGCTCTCCGAGAGGGGCGGAGGAATCGAACTCGGGTCGGCCATGTTGGCTGCGTGCAAGGCAAACGCCCTACTGCTGTGCTATCGCTCCAGCCCGAGATAATAAGATGTCATAAAAAAGATGTTCTGATAAGATGTTGCGGCTGTGCGGTTCCGGGAGCTGGATTTTATAGCCTCTGAGTCTTGGCTGCTGATGGGATTACACGGCGCCAGGGGGCCAGGTGGTGGGTGTGACCCCTGCCTACTGGAATTTGGAGGATCTGGGTGGAGGATGCTCGACTCCAATCCGAGTAGGCTTGGAGATCTCGGCCCCGGAACCCGCGTGGATTTGTCTCTCTGCCAGTACCTTCATGTGTGCGGAGAGTGGTCTCAGCATGGTGGTGGCTGGTCCTGGAGGTCTTCGGCTGCCAAAGCCCTGGTCGGGGCGGGGAGGAAAGCTCAACCCGCTCCCCTCCAAGGGGCCCCGGCGAGGAACAGCCAGTATTATTCTCAATTTCATTACTGCAATTTAAATTATCACTGGTTATTTTTCCCCTTTATTGATCTTGCTAAGTCTTCATCATGTTGAAATTTGCATGATATTGTTGCTTTTTGATTTTTTTAATGTCCTTTATACTTCTTACTTTTCTAAGTGTTTTCAGGGCATAACACAGCTTGACCGCCCCTTCCACCCTTTTCTGAGTATTCTGATGCTTATTAGTGGTCTGGTTTTTATATTTCCATATTTTCAAATACCTGTATACCCACATTGTGCAATCATTTTTAAAATTTCACATTCCTCATATCAATAATTTAAACTTTAATTGTTTTTACTTAACTACATCATTAGTTTGATTACCAGTCCCAAGAGTAGATATTTTGGTATTTATCTTTAATTCTTTTCAGACCTTTAGCTACCAGATCATCACAGTATTTATTGGGTTTGTTTTTTTGTTTTTGGGACACACCTGGCAGTGCTCAGGAATTAGTCCTGGCTCTGCATTCAGGAATTACTCCTGGTAGTGCTCTGGGAACCATTTGGGATGCTGGGGATTGAACCCAGGTCGGCCATGTGCAAAACAAATGCCCTACCTACTGTGCTGTCTCTCCAGCCTCATCACAGCATACTTGTAGCATCCATACATTCCTTTTCAGTCCCCCTAGTATAATGTCAACTGTTGTGATTTGTGTTCAATTTGATATGCCTAAACATTACATAACCTTTATCTCTTAAAATCCAGTAGATGGATTTCATACCTATAATTTTGCACTTTGAAGCATGAAAATAAATACATTGGACAGGAGTTTATCCTCATTCTTTTTGCATATCAAGCATAATTGCCCAGCAATTATATTTTAAAAATGTTTCTTTGATTTAATTCCCCAAAGATTAAAGGAAGGATGTTCTTAGTTCTGGGAGATCAGAGAATGGCATTCATATAAAAAGAAAGAAAAAAAGAGAAAAAAAGAAAGCACTACCTTTATACTGCTGTAGAACATGGTCATATTTGTTGAGATTGCTAAAGAAATTTTGATGTTTCTTTTTACAAAATTGTATAAATGCATATTTTTCATTCTTTTTAGGTTTTGGAAGAAAGGATGTCGTAGAACACTTACTACAGATGGGTGCTAATGTCCATGCTCGTGATGATGGAGGTCTTATTCCACTTCATAATGCTTGTTCTTTTGGCCATGCTGAGGTTGTGAGTCTGTTACTATGCCAAGGAGCTGATCCAAATGCCAGAGATAACTGGAACTATACCCCTCTGCATGAAGCTGCGATTAAAGGGAAAATTGACGTATGCATTGGTAAGTATTTTTTGATGATATCTAATTTGTATGATCAATCTGGTGATATAATATTTTATTTATTTATTTATTTTTATTTAGATTTTTATTAGTGAAACACCATGAGGTACAGTTGTAGATTTACAAATTTTTGTGCTTGGTTTCAGTTATACAACGATCGAATACCCATCCCTTCACCAGTGCCCATTCTCCACCACCACTGATCCCGGTATCCCACCCACCTCCCACCCCCCCCTCCCACTCTGTGGCAGGGCATTCCCCCCTTGTTCTCTCTTTCCTTTTGGGTGCTGTGGTTTGCAAAAGAGGCATTGAGTGGCAATCATATTTGTGACATAATATTTTAAATGCAAATATATTATTGTTACTTGCTTTTTACTGTGAAAATAGTTATTACCCCAGAAGCAAATAGAGAAGGCTACGTTTGCTTAGATCTCTTTTTCCATCACAAAGGAAGTAGAGAGACAGTAATCTAAAGTTGGTCAAGAACAAGATGCACAGCATTAATTCTTCAAGTGCAAGTCAAATGCTGACTTATACAGAGCTAAATGTGATGGGTTGCTGTTATCGAATCTAGTTAATCTATCATCTCTTTTGAAGACTACAAATTTTCCATCTTAACATAAATAAGAGTTATAAGGTACACGTTCTTACAGAATTACATAACATATTAGATCCTTAAATTGATTCTAGGAAGTACACTTAGTACTAAGGCAAAGATGTTATGTTGCTGAAAAAGAGCATTAGCCATTTTATTGGTACTGGAAAGCTTTGAGTGATTCAAATAAAGTGGTTCAGTTTGATGTCTTCAATTTAGACTATATACTAGAGAAAAAAGCAGTCTCAAACAAAACTTTTCAATCACTTCATGTATTGAGATTATATTAAACTGTATTCAGCATTTTTCTCATATATATGTATATATATTTCCGTATGTATGAATTTATGTATTTAGATCTTGCTTCTTCATTGTATAAAATCTCTTGATTTGAAATCTAAAACAAGCTTCTAAGGCTGTGGTCTTCACCCACTATCCATAGATGGTGCTGGTCTATAGCTGTAGAACCACTGGTCTGTTACCTTCACGGTTAAGACAGGTGTTGTTGATCTGCAGGTGTAAAAATGTTGAAGAACCTAGAGGACAGATGTACATTGTCCTGAGGATATTATGTTTCTCAAGTGGTAGATACTTGTTTAGCTCATACCAGATTTACGTATGTTTTGCTTTGATAACCATTTTAATCAGTTTTCCTATAAAACAACTCAGCTATATCATTTATATTGCTTGTCATCTTGTTACTCATTGATTTGCTTGAACAGGTGCCAGTAACATCTCCATTTGTTCCTGTCACGTGCTAGTGTAGCCTTACTGATTTTCGATGCTTTGTCGAATGAGATGGTGTCCCTGATTCTTGATCATTGATGGAGGGGGTGCCAGCTATTGTAGATAAATGATAAATAGAGAAGGGGCCAGCTATTGTAGATAAGTGAGGAGTAGGAAGTTTCACTGACTGCAGTGGTGCACCGCCTCATCGTGGCAAGGGGTTGGCAACAGTGCCAACTGGTGAAGAGCGAACCAACATGCCACCCGCACGGCAGAGCCTAGCAAGCTATCCGTGGCGTATTCGATATGCCAAAAACATCAACAAAAATGGGCCTCATTCCCCTGACCCTGAAAGATCCCCCAATACAGCAGCGTTGAGAAGGACGAGCAAGGCTGCTAAGATCTCAGGGCCGAACTAGGCCGCCAAAATGAAGAAGGACTAAAATCACTGTCTGCACTTTTAATGCACATATGCTGGCATTAGAAGCATCCATCGAGGACCTGATGCTGCAAGCGCAGAAGATCAAGTCTGACAGAGACAAGAAAGCATCGATCACATCATACCATTTTTGACACTGGAGAAGAACTATTCTTGGAACATGTGACTGGTAGGTGGTGTTGGTGTCCTCATCAACACAAACTTGGCCATGAGCATTGATTCATTTGAATGCCTTACAACCCGAATTGGACACTTAGATTTGAATGAGACGCTTACGTGTGTCATTGCTGGCAGTTTCTATCGTCATTGTCTATGCACCAATATCCAACTACGATGAAGAAGAAATTGAGAAGTTCTGCATGGAGCTGGAGAAGTTCTGTACAAAAGACCACACCTTCTACAAGATCATTGTTGGTGATTGTAACGCCAAGATATGAACTCCACATTGGGACCCATGACTTAGAATGGAAAAAACAGGGTGAGAGACTGTCAGAGTTTATCATGTTGACCAAGATCATCCATGGTAACTCGCAGTTCCAGAAGTCTGAATCTAAATGTTGGACATGGGAGTCTCCCGGTGGACAGTTCCGCAACAAAATTGACCACATCATATTCAAGTCATGGTTTTACCAGAACGATGTCGCTGTTGTCCCAAAATTCCAAACAGAATCAGACCACCTTCTCTTTTGTGTGAAATTCTGCTTCACAGAGTTGGGAGAAAGGGCTGCAAAGTTTAAGAAGAGAACTCCCAGAACAACTACCAACTGGGAGCTCTTTGACAATATTGCAGCAACACGGGAAGATGTTGTTGTTGACAACATCGATGAGGAATATGATTGACTGGTTCAGCACCTCCATGATTATGCGAGGAATGCTGAGTGAGAAAGCCACAAACAGACGCCTGTCTTCGGAAACTATCGAGCTCATTCGCCAATGTGGTTTGGCACGAGCCTCAGGCAGTCACAAGCTAATGGCCGAGCTCACAAAGCTGTGCAGAGAAGCAATAAAGGAAGACCTCAAAGAGAGAAGAGCAGCATTGTTGGCCAATGCGGCAGAAGTTGGGAAAAATATTCACAATGCCCTCCTCCCCTTCACCAACTACATGACCAAGATGACTGCCCTTCAATGTCCTGATTGATCTATCACATCATCCAGAAGGGCAGTGGAATAGGTTATCCACAACTTCTATTCAGATCTCTTCAATAGCCACGTCCACCTACCCACATACGAAATTTCGTGGGATGGATATGTCGTTCCCAACGTTCTCCCTTCCGAAATCCAAAATGCCATTTCATCGATAACGAAGCATACAGCACCTGGTCCAGATAAGGTCACACCCGGATACCTGAAGAATCTGCTGCCAGTACTTGTAAATACACTGGCTCGGCTCTTCACACCTTCCCTGTCTGAATGCAGGGTTTCATCCCAATGGAAAAGCAACAGGACTGTTCTGTTGTACACGAAGGGAGACATCCACGATATTGGCAATTATCTGATCTGCCTGTTTGTTGTCTGTCGTCTACAAGTTGTTCACTCGCGTCATTCTGAATAGGATTGGCAGAACACTACACAAAAGACAACCATGTGAGCAAGCTGGGTTCCAGAAAGGACTCAACACTATCGACCTTATCAACATGATAACCAAGCTCATTGAAGTTTCACGAGAGTTCAAGATGCCACTCTGTATAACATTCATTGATTTAAAGAAGGCCCTTGATTCTGTTGAGACTGAAGTGGTCATTGAAGCTTGAATCCCTAGCCAAACAGTGCGCTCAAACCAGTACATCAGGATCCTTGTGAGCTTTATTACGGATTCATCACCAGGATCTCACCATTCTACAAGGTAGTGATCATTGACGTAAAGAGAGGGGTTCGACAGGGTGATACTATTTCACCAAAACTCTTCATTGCCACCCTCGAGAACATCATGTAAAGGCTGGAATGGGATGGAATGGGAGCGAAGATAGACAATCAGCAACTACACCACCTCCGGTTTGCTGATGACATCGTTCTATAACACCAAACCTCAGCCAAGCGGCACGAATGTTGGCCGACTTTGACCTTGAGCGTGGAAAGGTTGGACTGCAGCTGAATCTCACGAAGACAATGTTCATGAGAAATGGACTAGTCACTAACCTTTCATTTGCTCTCAATGGAATGAATATCTCTGAATGCAGCAGTTATGTGTACCTAGCTCAAGAACTCAACATGACAAACGACCTGGCACTTGAGCTGTGTAGGAGGAGGAGAGCGGTGTGGAACACCTTCAAGAGCATTGAAGAAGAGGACGAAGAATCTCAGGCTCCGGGCACATCTTTTCGACTCCACCGTTCTTCCTGCACTAACAGACGCCACAGGGACCTGGGCCCTATGAAAACAGTCTGCTATTCAGGTCTCCCAAAGAGGAATAGGAAGAGCTGTCACTGTCACTGTCATCCTGTTGTTCATCGATTGCCTCCAGCAGGCCCCAGTAACGTCTCTTTCGTCCTAGCCCTGAGATTTGAAAAAGTGCCACATTCGAGGCTCTTTCAGGGTCAGGAGAATGGAGACTCCATTGTTACTGTTTTTTTGGCATATTGAATACACCACGGGGAGTTTGTCAGACTGCCGTGTGGTCAGTATACTTTTGGTAGCCTGCCAGGTTCTCTAGAGTAAGCACTAGATAATAATCCTGCTTCCGGGAGCAGGGTTTTATAGTCTTTGGTCTTGGCCGTTGATGGGATTGCACAACACTGGGCTGGGGGCAGTTTGTGCGTGTAACGCCTACATACTGGAAGATGTGGGATCTGGATGGAGGAGGCCCCAGTCCCAATCTGAGCAGGCTTAGAAGAACTATGCTTGGAATATCATGTTTCACTCAAGTGAAAGAAGGAATCTGAAATCCAGCAATATATATTATTTAAAAATTTAAAGTTATGGTCCCATTACCAAGGTTTCTCCTATTCCAATCTCTAACCTGTTTTTTTGTTTTCTCCTCAAATTATTGCGATGCTTAGCTATATATAACTATCACATTCTGTATCATTTCAATAATCGTGTCTGGTTTTTTGTTTGCAGTCTTCTCCATTTCTAATTTTTTTTTCATCTCCACCGTTGTCTCTCACTAAATAAACAACCTCCTGGACCAAATAGTTAAATAAAACGGCTTTTTAAAACTTGAGCTTATATTCTGAAATTTTATTCTGTAAATGCTTTTAATATGTTACTGAAACAAAATCATGCCTGCCTTATCATGCCTGC